GCCCGCCGTGCCCCCGCTCCCGGGCCCCGCCGCGCACACGCCGTGGCGCCCCGCGCCGCACCAGGAACCGCCCCCAAGGAGGAGGAGGGGGAGGAGGAGGAGGAGGAGTGGGAGGAGGAGGAGGAGGAGGAGGAGGAGGAGGAGGAGGAGGAGCAGGAGCAGGAGCAGGAGCAGGAGCAGGAGCAGGAGGAGGAGGAGGAGGAGGAGGAGGAGCAGGAGGAGGAGTAGGAGGCCCCCCGGGCGCGCCTCCGGGGCGCCCGGGCACCAACGGCGCTCGTCGGCGTGGACGTCGTCGGCGTCCACGTCGACGTCGTCGCCGTCGTCGTCGTCGCCACTGTCGTCGCGTTCGTCGTCGGCGTCGTGGTCGCCAGGCGTCGTCGCCGACGCCGTTGCCGTCCTCCTTTGCTCGGGGGCGGCCAAGAGGGGGGTGATGAGTAGGGGGGGGTGGATATCATGGCGGAGATCATGCTAATTATCTCCCCAGATTTCATGGCGCCTCTTCTTATTTCATTACGTCCCTGGCCTCCCCCCGCACGTGCCGCCAGCCATGATTTGCGCCCCCCCCTCTTGGACGCCCCTCCCCTCTTGGCCGCCCCCGATTTGCACGCTCGCCGAGTTTTCTCGGCTTGCTCGCTTCGACGGGGCGAGAGGCCGAGGGCCAGGCGCGTACCAGCGACGAGCTGCGTCCCACGAGAGTGGTTTTGAAGTTATCTGCACCAGGCACACCTTGCGGTACGATGCAAGGTCGTGTCGCAACCTGGCACGAGGCAGTTGTTTCAGGCCGCCGTGCGCAAGGCTTGTTCCCAAGAGCCCCTCTGTGAGCTGCTCGCCTGCTCGCCGGGTGTCGGAGCTGGCGGCCAGACGCTTGGGCGCGTCGTGCTTCTTCGGCCCCTCCCCTCCCTCCTGGGTTTTTTGGCTGACCGCCGACATGCTGACGCTGCCTCTTGGCTTCGCGTCGTGGCAGCGGCCGCTTCGCTCGTGAAGGATGTTAGTTGACTATTGCATGGACTTGGCGATTCGGTGCAGTCGACATTGAATCGACGTGCTTTCATCGTGTGGCTTGGTTGACTCAACTTGGTACGGGTGTCGTCACCAGACTCCTTCGAGGACTGCCGATGGTCGCGTTGCTTGAAGGACCCTGGGCTCAGCCTGGACAGAATCTTGCAGTCCACAGCGGCGGGCATCTGCACGATCGCCGTCGGCGCCCACCCTGGGCGCCGTGGCTTCAAGCCGCATCTGATTATCAGTGCACGACTCCCGCAGCGCGTGTGCCTGACGAGGCGGAATTCGCAGGATGGGCCACCCGCGACGTGGTCCCGAGCGAAGTGAACCCCACCTGCACCCGAGGAGGAGGAGGAGGAGGAGGAGGAGGAGGAGGAGGAGACGGAGGAGGAGGAGGAGGAGGAGGAGGAGGAGGAGGAGGAGGAGGAGGAGGAGGAGGGGTAGGGTTCGCATGTGGCCTCCTACAGAGGCCAACGCCGGGGTCTTCACGGCCCAAGCCCGCCGCGGGCGCCTCGGCAATGGTCGTGATGCGAGGGGCACGCGCGCGAGCCAACACCATGTTGACGTGATGGTCGTCGCACAACGAAGCAGCGAGCGAGCTGCACTATCCGCAGAGCGTTTCTTCGTACACGTCCGAGAAACACGGGTTTGCCTCGATGCCATGGATCGCAAACGTTTGTTGAGCAACACTTGGGCATCGCTCGGACGTTTGCACTTTTCCTTCGGCGAGGGCCCGTGAGGAGCATCCTGAATCAGTTGGCAAACAAGCCACGCACGACACCGAGAAAACAAAGACACACAGGGAATGGACGCCCGAGCGATGGCCAGGCACATGTTTGGCAGAACTCGTTGGGGGGGGGCAGGGTTCGCGTGTGGCCGCCACCGTGTGGCCTCCTAGTCTTAAGTCGGACCTATCCCCCTACAGGGGGATTTTCGACGAAAGATGCAAAACACCCTCCAAAATAGTAAACAACTGTCAAAAATAGCCTTGGGATTATGTTTTGAGCATTTTTTAAATCATTTTTGGGGTCTTTTTGGTGTATTTTTTTATTTTTCGTCGAAAATCCCCCTGTAGGGGGACACGCCCGATTTAAGCCTAGTCGTGTTTCTTGCCGCCAGGGCTCCGTCGAGAGGCGGCTGGACGAGCTGGGCGGCCTGCTCGAGGGCCTCGCGGAGGAGGCGCCGCGCGCGCGCGCCCGCACACCTTCGGCCGTGCCTCTCGGGGGGGGGGGGGGGGGCGGCACCCCGTCCTTCCCCCAGCTCCCCTTCGGTGGCAGATCAAGTAGGGGAACAAAAAGTGAGGAGGAGCAGGAGGAGGGGGAGGAGGAGGAGGGTGAGGAGCAGAAGAGAGGAGGACGAGGAGGAGGAGGAGGAGGAGTAGGAAGGAGGAGGAGGAGGCCGAGGAGGAGGAGGCCCCCCGGGCGCGCCTCCGGGGCGCCCGGGCACCGACGCTGCTCGTCGGCGTGGACGTCGACGTCGGCGTCGACGTCGACGTCGTCGACGTCGTCGTCGCCGCCGCTGTCGTCGCGTTCGTCGTCGGCGTCGTGTCGCCAGGCGTGGTCGCCGACGCCGTTGCTAGGGGAACAAAAAGTGACATAAACATAACAACTCGGAGGTCCGCGCGGATTTCTCGGATCGGCGCTGGACCCCCCTCCCTCCCCGGAGCGCGGAGCGCGCCAGGGGCGGCGCAGGAGGCGCTGCCAAGGGGGCCCAGCGCCGATCCGAGAAATCCGCGCGGACCTCAGAGTTTTTATGTTTATGTCTTTTTCTGTTCCCCTATCAAGGGAGCCTTGTGTGCCCTCTCAACTCCGTCGCTAGCGCGCTAGCGTCGATGAGCCCCGATTCGCGTCTGGGAGTCGATGAGATAGCGCCGATGTGGCGTCGATTGGCATCGATGAGTTCCGATGTAGCGTCGAGCAGCGTCGATGAGCGTCGAGTCGCAGGAGCCGACAAGATGGTGTGGGAGGCACCCATGAGTTGCCACCGAACTTCCCTCCTCCCTTCTCCACCTTTGCTCTTCCATCTTCCCCCTCTCTTTCCTTTGTCTCTCTCTCTCTCTCTCTTTCTCCCTCTCTCTCTGTTTGCCTCTCTCGTTTGTTTTGTCTCTGTCTCTCTCTCTTTCTCTCTCTCTCCCTTACTCTCTTTCTCTCTCCTCTCTCTTTCTCTCTATTTCCTTTTGTGTGTGTGTGTGTCTCTCTCTTTCCTTCTCCTTCCCTCTCTCTCTCATCCGTCCCCCCTCAACCGCTACTAAACAGGAGCAGCGCACTGCCTTTTCCACGCGCAGGACGACGCCGCCGCCGCCGCCGCCGTCGTCGTCGTCGTCGTCGTCGTCGTCGTCGTCGTCGTCGTCGTCTTTTGATCGGCCCCGCGTGCAATTCCAGTTGGATCGTCTCTTGGCGTGGTCCTCCCGATGGACTTTCTTCTGGTTGGGTCGTCTTCGGATGCTCGTCTTCGGGCGTCTCGAGGGGCGCTTTTTTTGCTCCTCGGCGCCAGGCGCACTCCTCCTGCCCCGACCTGCCCTCAGCACCCATGCGGCGTTGTTGCCCGGCAGGGCCGCGATCGCCCTGGTCGTGCCAAGGGCGTGGATACGCTTCTCGTGTTTGGTTATATTTGATGGAGCGCGCTCGTGGGGCCCGATAGACTAACAGGGGGGCCCCAGCTTGAAGCTACCCCCCTCCCCCCTTCCTTGCTAAAGGGGGGGGGGGCTTCGGAAGCCCCCCCCCTCCCCTCCTTTTCGTGGTTCGGAAAGGGGGGGGGACTTCCAAGCTACCCCCCCCCCTCCCTCCCTTTAATTGAGCCGGGGTGAGCCACCCCCCCCCTTTGAAAGGGGGGGGGGGCTTCGGAAGCTACCCCCCCCCCCTCCCTTTTCGTGGCCGGAAAGGGGGGGGGGGCTTCCAAGCTACCCCCCCCTCCCTCCTTTTAATGGAGCTGGGGTGAGCCACCCCTCCCCTTTGAAAGGGGGGGGGCTTTGGAAGCCCCCCCCCCTCCCTCCCTTGGTGCAAAAGGGGGGGGGGGCTTGAAGCCCCCCCCCCCCTTCCTCCCTTTGGCCGCCCAGCTCCCGGAGCCATCGCTCTCCCTTTCGCCTCCATTTATTCCCGCCCCTCTCCCTCCTCTTCTTCCTTTTGCCTCCTTCTCTTCCTCGTCCTCCTCATCCTCCTCATAGTCATCATCGTCATCATCATCATCATCCTCATCATCATCATCATCATCATCACCACCATCACCACCACCACCACCATCATCATCATCATCATCATCATCATCATCATCATCATCATCATCATCGTAATCGTACTCCCCCGCGGGTCCTTCCGTTCCGTTCCTCCTCCTCATCATCTTCCTCCTCCTCCTCCTCCTCGGTTTTCTTCTCCTCCTCCTCCATTTGTCCCTCCTCCTCCTCCTCATCATCATCATCATCATCATCCTCATCATCATCATCATCATCATCATCATCATCATCATCATCCTCTTCCTCCTCCTCCTCCTCCTCCTCTTCTCCTCCTCGTTATCCTCCTCCGTTTCTCAATCCTCCTCCTCCTCCTCTCTCCTCCTCCTCCTCCTCTCTCCCTCCTCCTCCTTCTCCTCCTCCTCCTCCTCCTCCTCCTCTTCCTCCTCCTTCTCCTCCTCCTCCTCCTCCTCCTCCTCCTCCTCCTCCTCCCCCTCCTCCTCCTCTGCCTTTGCTCAAGTACTCATTTGTGCTCAAACTTTTGCGCACCGCGCGAGTCCCCCTCTGTTTTTCACTGACTGACATGACCTATGAAGAGTGGGCAGATGTGCAGGGCCGTAATCGTGCTGGCAAGTCTCGCCGCAAGGTTAAGCCTTACACTTTCTGCTCAGCATGCGGAGGGTGGACGTACGATCACATCCTCAAGAAGACTCACACCTGTCTCCACTGCAAGGTGGTACTCATGCCACCCGGAGCTGATGGAGGAGGTGACAGCACGGTGCTGGCTGACGGGGGCGGCAAGAATCAGGTGTGCACATTGCCACCTGACAAGCTGGCCGAGCTTCACGCTATCGCCAAGCTCTTGCCAGCAGACAAGGCCAGGCAGTTGCTGGCACCAGTTGCCGATTCTGCGCCCAAGCCAGCGCCGGTTTACAATTTCCCTGAAGGGGAATATCAGGCTGCCGAGGCGGCCAAACGTCACGCGTCCAAGGTTCTTGAAAAAGCCTTGGAACATCGTCTCTGGGTTGAAAGGCAAGTTCAAGCAGCTGATGAAAGAGTTGAGCAGGCCGTTCTCGCTGAACAGCAGGCGGAGGCTAAGGTGGCACATGCAGCCAGGCGCGTTGCCGCGAGAGTGCTGCCTCCTGAGCCACAGAAAAGCGTCATCCACCTCGACCAGCTGTTGGCGAATGAAGCCTCCCAGCACATCGAGATCAAGTTGGGTCCATCTTTGGACCTGTCGGGCGACGCCTTCAGCGAGGAAGATCGCAGGGCGTTCAAGGAGTTCGAGGCGGCGCAAGTTCTCAAGGTCCAGGAGCTCCTTTCCACAGCTTTCAAGGAGGTCGCCACCAAGGCGGCTGACCACAAGAAGGAATACGCAGACAAGCATGCCGAGTTCACCAAAAAGCGTAAGGTTTCTGCAGATGTTGAGGGAGGAACTAAGGCGGAGGTCACGTCGCAGCAGCAGGCGCCTTCGGGGGGCGCAGGGGGTTCTGAGCCTCCTGGTGCTGCGCCTGCAGGCGCGGCCCCTGCTGCAAGCTCGGCTGGAGACCTTCCGCCGGGGCTTCCCGCCTCCGCCGACGCGAAGGCCAAGGACGAGTTCAAGCGGAAGGCCATGGCACGCCTCCAGCAGAAACAAGCTGGACAGAAGCCGGAAGCAGAACATTCGGTTTAGCATTTCTCCTAGGGCTCATTGTGAGGACCGGCCGTCTAAATTTTTACCATATATAAAGATGGTCGTGTCCAATATCAGTAAGTGGGGCTTTCAGGCGATGCGTTGGTTTCTCTCTACCCAAGCAGATCTGGTGGTCTTGGCTGAGCACCGCTCGAGGGGAACAGGCTTTCAGTCAATGGTCAAAGAATTGCATTTTGCGGGGTGGAGGGTTGTAGCCCAAGAAGCCCATGTGACCCAAGCAGTTGACACTTCAGCAGGTGTTATGGTAGTTGCTAGGTCTCACCTCCTCCTCTCTGACCTCTCCTTCTTCCTTTCCTCCTGGAAACTGGCGGCCTCCACGTCCAGATGGCTGCTTTGCGCTTTCAGGCTCCGTGGTGTAAATATCACGATTGCCCCTGTGTATTTGCATGACAAGGTAGGGCCTCGTGGCCCTAATATCAAGCTTTTGTCGGACCTCGGTTCGGCTCTCTCGGTGCTCGGGGGTCCTATTATTGCCTGTGGGGACTGGAATATGTCTTTCTCTGATTTGGAGTCCACGGATTTTCCCAGGCGTTTGAAATTAGGACTTGTGCCAATGCCAGGTGTTTCTCATACCTGTGAAGTAGGAGGAAAGACCAGCTTGATTGATTACGCGCTGGTAAGTGACCACGCCAGGCAGATTGTGAAGTTTTCTGGCTTGGATGTTTCGGTTCCCTGGGGCACCCATGTTGGGTTGCAGTTTCAGCTTTGCGCTGCCCCCAGGGCCTTAAACGCTCTTCGTTTGAAGTCGCCGGCTGCATTGGACCACCCAGGCGTTCGTGGCCCAGTTCTTCCGTGGGTCACCTTTCAGGCCCAAGCCAAAATTGCACTGCGGCTTCACCCAGGGAGGTTCCGAGACAATGCGCGTGTACAGGTTCAGTATGAATCAGGCCACGATGATCTGGCCACATCCGTTGCCTTGAGTGCCCGTCTCAGCGAATGGATTTTGGCTGTCGAGCTGGAGGCTTGTCACAGGCAAGGCGTTGAGACGAGCAGCACTTTCAGGCATGTGGGTAGAGGGCAGCTTCCCCTTTTAGTTGAAGCTCCTCTCCTTCCCCGGGAGGTCGAAGCCCCCAGTTTAGTCAATAGGCAAGCTCGTTTTTGGCAAGCGCTTGCTGTCCAGCTTGGCACGGCTCTCAAGCTATGTGACGTTGACCCAGCGCTTGGGGATGCGGCCGTCCCGCAGCCCAGGCACAGGTCAATCGAGCACTTCAACGGCCTGATCCGCAAACTCTCCCTCCTTGAGCTTCCTCCTCCTCTTGGCGATCAGGATCAGGCCGAGCTCGATGAGTTGTTTTTGTGGCGAGGTTGGCTCCAGAAGCT